CTTGTGGCTTTGTCTCTTAGCTTTGGGGTCTTTTTTCTCATTCACATTAAAAGTTCCCGGGCGTTCAGGCGGCAAATCACTCCCTCCACCACTTCCCCTAGCCCCCACAGGCACAAATGCAGAAGCCATTATATTTCACCGACCCTCGCAACCACTGGTTATAGAGGCGAAAATCTCACACGTGATGCGCTCGGACCCTTCCCGCGAAATCTCCGTTATTCAAGATAATCCAGACGTTATTATCGAAAATGGGTATCTATTGTAACTTACTGTTATTGTCGAAAACATTACTGTGGAAGTCGTTATTGGCGAGATCCTACTGTACAGTGTACTGTTTTTTTTTAACCTATTTTTGTTTGTATGTTGTTTTCTATTGTAAATCCCCTTTCTTATGTCCTTATGCCTCCTTGGTTATACCTACCTCTAGTAAAAAAAAATTCAGCTAACCCAGAGAAGTTATGGAAGACATACAATTTGTTAACTGGGATATTACTGTATCAGTATAATGATAAATGGAATATTGCACCAATTTTCTTAGCACACATTTACATTATATATCTTTTTTCCATTGTAGGTTTTTTAAGTAATCACTATTGTTCCCATTTTCAGAAATAACATATCACATTCATCATGAAAATGATGAAAACTCTCCAGGGATTTTTAAATGAGATTACCATCCAATGTTAAGATCCTGGCTTAAGTGAGTGTAAGTGTGTAGGTATTAAAACAATTCTGGCATTAATACTAGGTGGTTAAATGATTATTATCCAAGAGATATACTGAAGTGATAAACAAAATTTATATAACTTTATTAATATTAGCCTTTTTCAAACACCACCACCACTCTATACATGATTCTATTACTGTAAATGCACCAAAATGAAATACCAAAACTTTCTTTATATTTTTTTCAATGGACAAAAATGCAAGGAATGTCCTGGTTTGAGAACTCTTATTATGCATTTTGCATTACATACTGCCAGATGCCATACCTATGTCAATACAAATTCTTAGATATTGCAACTGAACAGGTTATAACAGTGAAGCATAAATTATACATTTATTTCTCCATGAGTCATATAAAAATGCATGGAATATGAACAATGTTGTCAGGTTCAATCAATATAAACATTACTGAAAAATACCATTGTTCCATTACTTATGATGATGACTATGATAATAATGCTTGTATATCAATATTTCTCTATAAAAAACACACACACACATATATACGTACAGTATAATATATATATACTGTCACAACTGCAATAATAAATTGATCTCAAGTTGATATACTCATGATTTCCTAGTCATGTACATTATAAAGTTACATGAATTTTTTTTGGACATACTGTATGCCAGTAACAAGGAATAATAATTGTTAGCCGAGAAATTAACATCAAAAATCTAAAAATAAAGTACAGCTTCATGTATTTTTGTTTCTTTTCAAGTTAACCGATTTGACAAGCCTACAGATTCATCTCTAGCCAGATCATCATAGCCCTCAAGTCAACAGATGTGAATTTAAGTTATTTTCCATTGCAGGTAAACAAAGCCTTCAGTTCTGATCATGATACCATTGCTGTCATCTATCTAGTATTATCCTAAAAGAGAATTTAACCCCCCCCCTCCTACTAAGGTATATACAGTACAATACTTGCTGATGTACTATACCTCAGTGATGTGAATATACTGTACTGCCAATTAGATACCTGTATTCCTATTCAGTCTTGTCACACAGTTGCAATTTGTCCCCGATGGAAAGCTAAAGATCATTTTTACTCGCAAGAGGATCCGATTCTTTTGGCATCCAAATTAAGCGATATGCTCCCTATTAAAGGTTAGCAAATATTACCCTCATCTGGTGGACAATACCCCTTTGAACAAATAGGTCTAGTCATGTACTCACTCTTTTGCTTATAGAAAATAAATAATCTCACAAAATAATGTGAAGTGGGGAAAACTGCTGCCCTTCATTTACATATTGCAGATGGGCACCATGATGGACTGGCTTATAGCAATTTCACCAAACTAATAATTTATTCATAGGTACTGTACCAAATATATCAGTGCTTTCAAATTACATATACTGTACTGTGATCAATGTCATGAACCTTACAATACACAAGGACCCAATTTCACTCAGAAGGAACTAACATGAATTAATCTGAACTAAGTAAAATCAGTTTACAGGTACCATCACCAGCTACTGCATACCAGCACATACAAACCTACTCACAAATCACCAAACACTAGTCTCCTCCCCTCTGATCTCTTTTTTCCTAATTATTCCCATCTAATTTTAACTCCACACCTTCTAATATAGTTTATATAAAACCTGATGCCATTCTCTTGTGCTCACTCATATCTACAGTATCTAGTGTAAAAATGCTCTTGCATATCTTTCATCTATACCTTAAACACTAAAAAATATTTTTATTATTTTTATTTTTTCCTTAAACCCATCACTTGGTGCACTAGGTACATACCTTAAGTTTGTCCTTTGGAATTTCTATATCTACTCCCTGTCTTTACTGTAAACATTAGCCACATACATTACAGTAATCATGCAATTTAATCTTATTTTAAGGTACAATGCTATTCACTGTTTCAAGAATTTCTAAATGTTCATCCTATGATGTTTAATGGGAGTAGGAAGTGGGACCATGTTAGAAAATGATTTTATTCACTAGTTGCAATACAATGAAATAAACAGGCTTCAAGCCTTCCTGGACTACTTTAGGTTTGCACTTTGAATTAGACATTCTTATTTCATGTTCAAAAATGTTTACTTACTTGCAATTTCACAGGCAAAAGAATCTTTGAAAAGATTATGACAGCTATACTTTGCAGTGAATCTTGTTAATATACTGAGGTGCAGCAACATTGAGAATTAATAGAAAATATGTATTTTCACTCACTTTCTATACATGAGGCTCGCAATATAACAGAAGACATTAAGTGTGCTGTGGTACACACCATCTAACCCAACACTCCAATGGTTATACTGTACTAGTGCTCCTGTGTGACTCATACAAGAAATACGTTAACCTTACTGTAACACCCTCCCACAACCACCTTGATTAATGTGCTTAATTCTGGTGAGGTAAAATTTGTTGTGTCTAACATGGATAACCTGTTGTAAATGATCAACTTGTACCACTGAAAATACAATATTATTCACCAAAATCTCAAAAATGCAGCCCCATAATGTTTGCAGAGTACATTATTGGGCTATACAGTACAGTACAGGGTACTGTATTTCTGATTTTTTTTAATTTTCTAATATAATTTTCCTGCTAACACAACAATTTCTTAAGCGACATTGTTCCTGGCAACCTGCCGGTCTATTGAGATATGTGAAAAATTCTGTAATACAGGTACAGTCAGCAAAAAATTATTCTGCACCCCTGGGAGCGTGGCACTCGCAACGAACACTGAGACTGATGCCATGTACTGGTAAGGTTGGTATCTCTGATTGTGTGATTCATTGTAAAACTAATGTGCTGTTATTCCTTATATCATGTGTAGTAACCAGAGAGAAATTATCAGGAATACATATAAAACCCAAAGCACTTAAACCATGTCACAGCATTATATACTATACGTACCGTAGTACTACGTTTAATAACCCACATGCAGTAGGAATGGCATGCACTAGAAACTGAGGTGCTGTGTAGGAATTTCACGTACTATGATACATCAAAATTGTGAAAATACTCATGATTATAACCACTATCTGAGAAAGCGATGAGAAGTGGCATAATACAAGACCTCAACCAGAAAAAATGATACGAAACATTTGTAAAGTAGGAAAGTTATACAATATTACGCATAGGTAACCGAGCATCGATTATTTTATAAATATAGTTGTATGATGTTAACTGCTCTATTCGCATCTTGTAACACATTGTGCACAGACACACCTTATGGTAAATACTATCTACAGAGTAACTGGCAACTCAGGAAGCCAGGGCTACCAACATCCGCTTTGACTCGTGGGTGTTTTCAGAATTCTTGGTCGGGTGTGTCATACTATCTGAACCCGTAAAGGTGCAGAATAATATTTTGCCGACTGTACACATCGAGTTATTTTAACACCAAATCTCCCCAATATACTGGGTACTGTAGTAATTTGAAGAACAAGAACAGCTCCTCAGTGCTTGTTTACATATCTTCTATTGGTGTAAAAAAATCTAACCCTTTCTTAATAATTATATAATATTTCTTTGGGCTATACAGAGCAGCTGTATAATCAATTAAAAATATCATTTATATGGCTATATGAACATCATATTCCTGAATTTGTGCAGTTAATGTAACTAACAGCATAAACTAGCTGTAATTCCATAAAACTTAATCTATCCTCATATGGAGAAATCTCGCATTAGAATCCAATCTTGAAAAAATCAAGTTTTTTTTTTCTACCACACACATATACAAGGCTGTAAAGTTATATCTTGTTATAGCTGCCTAAGACATTCAAATTTTAGAAATAAATTTTCAGCGGCAATCAAATTACAAGAAAACTTTGTCTTTCTCTTCAAAGCCTGTTGTCACATACCATAAATTACTTGCAAGGACTCAACCTTGAAAGAAATGTGTATAATGTATTTTTATTAGAAAATTAAAAATCATTTCCATCCTGAAACTGATTAAGCAAACTCAAAGTTGACACACACAGTAGTGCATCCATGATTCCACCTACCCCATAATGAATAAATCTATTTTCTGCAACTGTACTTCACAGAACATTTCTAAACAAAACCTAAAGAAACTAAGTTCAAGCGGTTAATCTGTAATCAAACACAGCAGATACCAACACCAGGCAAAGTCTCATTATCATCTTTGATGGAGAAGTTTTAGCTTAACTTTTGGGGGAGGAGAACAATGCCTCCAGCATTTAAAGGACCGAACTACATAAATCTTGAAAGTATACGATTTAGGGATAGAGAAGCCACACCATTATATTAGAATAGTTTGACTAACAAAAACTACTATTACTTGCTAAACTTTTATTGCCATTCACTTTAACCATCAGGAGTACCTTTAACTGCTGGAGGTTTAGTCCTATGTCCAGGACAGTATCACCTGCCATTGTTACTAATACTTGGACAGTCATTATGACACGAGTATTTGAAATGAATGAGCATGTAAATTTACTTGAGGCAGTAATGTTTCAAGAACAGGTATGATATCAACTTTAAAGGATTTATGGCGCTAATTTCAAAGATATTGACTGCTTCAGAACACACTTCAGTAAGTAGAACATTGGATCCACAAAACTCCATTTCTTTAAGAGGTTGCATAAAATCTTAAGACAATTTATGTAAGAAGTGAAGCTTTGTTTTATCTACAAGTAGATTTAACAAACAAAACCATTATGTATTTATTGTATTTTGAAGGTCAATATTTACATTGTGAAAATAAAAACATTTTGCTTTACTCCAGAGAAAAACAGCAAGTTTTTAAAGCTTAAGCAATCTTAGTATGCAATTGTAGTTTCTCAAAGTACAGAGGATATAAACCTTTGAATAAAAAATGGCAATTTAAATTGTCAAATGAACTGATACGTTGAGTCACTATGTTCTCATTTGGGTCAGTCTACAACAAAAAACCTGAGTGTATTTCACTCAATAGTTATTTAATTTATCAAATGTCTACATACAGTAGTGCAATTCATTCCAGTAATGATTCACTTCTTACAATACAACACAACATAGCAATCCTTATCTGTTCACCAACCTCTTAGAACTCAAATTACATCACATACCACACTAAATCAAAACATGAGCATGTAATATGATTGCAAAGGTTTTAAGAAAACATTCAGTTAATCTTTTATACAATTATACATTCAGAATATATGAATTTCATTACCTTAGTACAATACCCCACCAATATTACTTAAGGAATCTTCAAATTAATGGATAAAAATTGTCTACTTTCTCTAAAATAGTAAAATTATTACGAACTGGCAAAAATAACCCCATAAAAAATTATCTACTATATTTCCTCATGTCTAAGTGAACAAAATGCTACTCAACCATCTCTTCCTCCCCAGCATCAAATGTAACTCAATTCAGGGTACATTATAGCATGAAGTCAAATTCAAATTTTTTGATCTTGCATATCTGACAATGAATATTTGTATACAGGTAAATCATGGCACATGAAAGCTTAAATATGAATGGTGATCACATATGCATGTTAAAACATGTTAATTTCAGAGCTAATCAAAACTTTCATGAATGCCAAAATACTTTTAAATGCCACGGAGCAATTACCCGCACTGATATTTATGTACCGCATTCTGCAAGTTTTATATACTATTTTCAGATGGCAAACTAGAGCGGATTGCTAAATATACATGTAATAAGAGTTTATCATGCATTAACAACTTCTCAAAAAGTAATGTTTTCATGATAACTATATTTGTACACAATAAGGAAATGCCGAGAACCAATTTTAATCTCCTTTGTGGATGGTACGTAAACAGAAGAAAAACGTAGCCGAAGACATTTAAACAAACATGTCAAGTGTCGGTGATAAACAAAATTGTGCAACACGAGTGGTTGTTAACATTTCCCTCTGCCATAACACAAGGTTAAGAAGCTACCAACAATTGAACTATACAATCCTGACTCTACTCGAAGTATATCAATATAAACCCATAATGCAGGAACTAAATTAGACCCCTGGCACTTATGTTAAGTTCTCTGGTGCAAGCTCTAAATTAATTATCACAATTTTGGGTATATATAATCTATTACTTCATGGATTAATACCATAATTTGTGAATATTAACAGCAAGATAAATCCCCAAGTTTTGATAAAGCAAGCTTACTGTACTGCTGTCAAACTAAGGCCAATTATTATTTTTTCTCAATTTTACAAATACTAAATCCTGGGGATATGTGAATGAAAGAACATCTTAACACTGGAATGGTTGTAAATTTTTATTCTAATATTCAGCATATTAATTATGCATAATGAAGTACAAAAACAAGTTAGATAAAAGCTTTCCTCCAACCCAAGTAATGGGCCCATAATATATGATAGAGTAAAAAAGGAAAAGGCTCTCCTGCACTGAAGCTTGGATTGTTTAAACAATCAAACGCCATATAAACAACACACCATTTATTCCTCATTTGGTCACAGATCAATAAACCAACCCACAAGGGTAATTATTCAGCCCACACACACTGGGATGTTGCTTGTCCACAAAATAATAACAACAATAATGATTAAAAAAAAAAAGTAAAATAATAAGGTTCAGAACCTCTAAAAACATGCATATACCAGTTAAACATGACGGTGAAGGCCTTCCTCTCCCCTTATTCCAAAAGCAATTTTAGTACTTTAAATAAGAGGACCACAATGGGTAGTGATGTTCATGGTTGAGGCAGAGCTGGGCACTTAACTACTCTATCTTGCTTCATGGATAACCCAAACTCCTCCAGGACATACTGCACTCCCATTGTAGAGTAATCACAGATGTCAACCATTAACCGTCTTCCAGTTGTCTAATATGAAAAAAATATATACTTTAACGAGATAATGGTTGGTTGTGAAGATGGTAATGGTGGTAATAGTAGTAGTAGTAGTGGTAGCTGGAAGGAGTAGTTTACTTCATGTTTGGCTTGGTGGCAACCACCATTTCCTGGCCCATTGCCGAAAGAACTGTCAGCTGGAGAAAAACAATATCATTAGTAGTATTTTTTCTTTAATATGCATGATGTAAATACAAATTTGTAGGACACTATTTAAGGAGTTTATGACAGCTCACCCTATAACAGCCAATATAATGTAGAAAATACTATTCAAAGTATCTGAACAAGAGTATATGCTACTAAAAGATTATCTTTCAGTAAACATGAATGAATTATGTAATGCTCATTCAGTAAAAGTTCTTCAAAGCACGTGTGTGTATGTGTAAATAGATGAAATTACCCCTTACAAGTACAGTAGAACCTCGATAAATTGGACTAATTGGGGGCAGACCCCAGTCCGAAAAATTTAAATATGGGGGGGGGAAGAATAACACTGGTTATCTAAACTCTTTAAAGAAAATCAGTTATGTTATTACTGCACTTCAACAGCTAAGGTCTTTAAGTGTATAACAAGGTTATTAAAAGAATATTACATCAACAAGAAAAAGATATATGAAACTCTCCGGGTTGAAAATCAGACATACAAGTTTGGTTGTCACCGAGATGATTGTTATTTACTGTAAAGTGTTATATGCAAGTAACCACAGAATTTGTCTCTTGAATAAAGAGAAAACTGTATACTGTACAGTACTATAAAGATAAAAATAAGTGTAAGTATATTGTATGTGGAAGACAAATGATTATCTGGAGCAGCTGGCAGAGGGGAGGGGGGGGGGGTTAGCATGGGTGGGTGGCTCCCTCCCCTTAACTCCCACAAGATTCCTTGAACACCTTTTGTATGCAATTCCACCACAATTCTCATAAATTTAGGATCATTTGGTGCAAGGTTGATAAAATATTATCCTAAAAGAACTGGCTTTCCTGAAAAAAGAATCCCACACTGAAAACCAGTCATTGTTTACAAAGAGCAAACCGCTGATCGACTTACCACAATGTCTGCCTTCAACACTTGGTAAATTAGTACACTTAATAAATACTATTGCAATGCATTTATCACCACTTAATAAATATTATTGTAGTGTACTTAACATCAATAAGTAATAATGTAGTATAAAGTATTATGCATCTGCATTTACCCTGGTTTATTCATTAATCATTTGTCTAAGACCAAGTGTACAAGTGGCCAACCGAGTCATCATATAACACTCAAAGGTAGTAAATAACGTTTTTAAGAAGGTATCTTAATATCAGATACTATACAGTGTGGTATAGTGACCCTTGTAAGCTGGTCTACTGAAAGCTGTCACACGAACACATCTTGAGTAAATCACCTTCTGATACAGCTTATCCTTTTATTTTCAAGTCATATTTCAAATTACAGTCTTGTATTTTTTCTCTATCACTGAAGATTTTATATTAATCATGTTGAAACATAAACCATAAGAGGCCAATCATATGAGAATACCTGTATAATACTGAATCATTAAATAAACCTGACTAATGTGGCAACACCTGGTCAGCCCCAGCCAGCTTACATACTCAAGTATCTTAGTTCTCAGCAGGCCTATAACAAATCTGATTAGACCACTGTACAGTAATCAGTGTGGTTCATTTCATGAGATTTTTTATTTACCTTCCCCATTTTTTTTGGTATTTCTGGTGACCAGAGCATTTCAGTCCGAAAAAGCAAATTCCGATATATTGAAGTCCAATTTATCAAGGTTTTACTGTAATTGCAGAGAAATACCTGACTACCATTAAGGAATTCCTGAAACCACCCCTCTAACTTAACGGTGCCTCCCATACTTAAATTAATACGGCTGTATGTGAGGTGAAATGGCTGAATGATATTGCAACATCCAACCTTGGAATTCACAGCATTGATCTAGCACCTCCTTTTGGCTTTCAAACCTATAGTAAGTAAGAAAGAGGTTTAAAGGGTGCCATTTTATGCAATATACAATTGTAAAACAGCACACAAACAGGTATGCATTAATAAGTTAACACATTTGGAATATGCTAGGACATTATCGTGATATAGAGTACAACACATTACAGTATATTGTGAACTTTTGGTGGCTTGTACACACACTTATTCTCATTTCTGCATTACTTTTGAGGACATGTTCAAGTCCTAGTACAGGTCAGACCCTTCTAGACTATTACGAATTTGGTACTGGCCGTCTTGGAATTAGTTCATATGCTCGGAAGAAAATCATTTACTTCCATCAGTCCAGCTCTCGCCCTTTTGTTGTTTTTTGGCTTTTATTTAGCTCTAACCTACCCTTTAATAAGGCTTCAAAGAGACCAACAAATGAAGAGAAAGCAAGTGATGCTACATTAACCACACTAGCCATACCCAAGTTTCACACTATAATATCCCCAGCAAAGTACATCTTATCAAAAACTATTAATACCGTACTTCATAAATTACTATTTTCAATACAAACCCACAATAACTTCCTCCATTTTTTTAATACTACGTTACATGCACACAAAATCCTACATTGGGAATTTGCAAAAAATTTAAATTAAATTAATTATCAGAAGGTCAAAAACAAGGGAGAAAATATTACTTTGTGTGCGAGAGCAAAGTGTCAGAGCTTTGCTAAGGTGAGGCTTGAGGCCACGCAGCCAGCATCCATGCAAATGGTGGTTGTTAAACTTTCACTTAACATTTCTTTAATGGCTTTTAGCTGCATATTTTCATCTAGACAGTATTTCATTAATGTGTTAGGTAGTAAATTACAGTACAGTAGTTGTGTACTATTTATAATTAGTTCGGTAGGTTTTTTGTTGTCTGTGAACCAATTTAATGCTTTTGGAATTTCCGTCCGAGAACAGATTCCTATTTTCCCAGATACTGTATAGTATTCTATTGAGATATGAAATTTCACTTCAAGAATGGGTTTCAGAAACCTAACCTATTCGTATAGCAAGGGACACCAATAACTTTGTCACCTGGAATGCATCTTCAAAGTACTGTATAGCAATATACTGTGTTGGACCTGCTCTACTTTTTATTAACCCACACTGTATTGATAGCAGATAATTTTTTCACCAGACTTTAGATGACCTGTGGTTCAGAAATGTCAATAGTCAGGCACGTCAGGTCCCAAGGGTGTCAGATTAAAGGGGGTTGATACCTGCACCACTTGGAGGACATCACCGTAACTTTCGTTACCCTATCTCCTAGAAACCAAACTTTCTCGGCACTATGATTCAAACTACCACCACCAGACTGCAGCATCTACAGGTAACTCTTGATTTATACAATAATTACGTTCTTGAAAATGGTAGCGTCAATAAAAAACACGCAAATCATAGTACTATTGGGGTTTTTTGTTACCAATAAGACACTATTGTAAGCAATATTATACCAGTGAAAAACTACAGTATAGAAAACACATACCTGTAAATATAAAACACTCCAGGCCTTTGCTTGCATCACAAGCATGCAGACGTGAATATTTTTTTGAATTTGGCGTTTGGTTCAGGTGCTCAACATTCTTTCCATTCTCTCCATAATCAAACTTCATAAGCACGATGTCTTAGATGCACTAATTAATGTTCCAGTCTCCTTGATGTTACCTGCACTATCACAAGAAGTCCATAAAGTAGATTCACAAAGTTCACCTCTTGCAATGTTTGAGCACATCCATCTTAATGGTGATGGCCTTATGCTTCTTAGCACCACTGGTACTAGAACTTAACCATTTGAGCACTAACTCGACCAAAGTCGCATCTAATGGCTTTTGGTAGTGGGACATATATCGACTTTTGTCCACACCAATAGAAAAACTTTTAACCTGTCAAAGACTTAATTTGTCTATCATCGAAGAATTTAGAACCGCATGCTCGGCTTCTTGTGATTTGCTGGTAGACGGTTGGCGCTCGGAGATCAAGACAGTCTGGCTTGCGTCAGCCGATTTCCACCAACCGACAATACCAGACTTCTCTTCAGCTACCGTAAATTGCAGCGTATAAGCCGACCTCAAGATTTTTAGTCCAAAATTCAGGTTTAGTTCTATACTTGCCATACAAGTCAACCCCCAAGGGCCAAACATAGGCGAAAGTGTGTAATAAGGCCACGCCACTTTCATCAAGACACCTACCGTAATACCTTTCAATATATATATAATATATAATATATATATATATATATATATACAAAAATGGAAGTGGACAACAGGATCTACATAGGACAGCAAGCAACCGCTAAAAATCTTCATTAAGTTATCTTCGTAAGAACTCTGGTAAACACCAAGCCAAAATCAGCACCTCCAATAAAATAGTACAGTAATTGTTTACACAGCATACCAATATAGCACCCCGATAGTACAATCTATAAACGGTATGATAGTAGAACATTATGGTACACCTGGCTTACGATCTGCCATTTGCATCAGCTGTTGCAAACAAACTGCCAGCGACGCCACCAACACCAAGCAGCCAGCTGCGAAACTATGGGTGGGTTACACTGTCGGCAGCACGGCTTAGATTTAAACTGTCATCCGCTGCAGCACTGTTGTTTGAAGAGTTTGCAAACGCAACAACTTTCAGCTTGAAACTTGTGTCATATTTCATCCTTTTTGCTGGGGGAGCCGTGGGGATAAGATATTTTCAACTGTTGTCAGGTTCGTGTGTGGGTAATGAGTGGATGCCAGCAAGAGCACAAAGCCACAATGGTTTAGTAAATTGCCAGTAGGCTTGTTCAGTGTATCCCCCAAAGACGAAAGATTCGCTTTGAATTATAACATTGTCCTTAATTGTGGGTGTCGCTTTAAATCAATAATTGAATCGTTTTAAATCGACGTTCTACTGTATAGGATTGATAGTCATATATATCTGTTATAAAGATCAATAAGTTAATAGTACATAAATACCGGCAGGGATCAACAGCAACAAGTAGTCATCTGCCAAGGCTCAATAGACCTACCAGTACAACACACAGGGGCATCAGCTGTAATGGTTGGAATCTCAGCATGTTTATTTTTATTATGCTTTCCTCCTGGGTGAAGCAAACGGTACTGGTTTAATATTTCATTTGGTATTTTTATAGCTACTATACTGCTTTTGTACATTTTTATAATAACCTACATTATATTTAGTTGTCTACGTAATTACTTATTCCAGAGGGTGGGGGGTTTCCGACAAGCTAAAACACCGAACCTTTTGTAATTTTTTGCCCAGACTTAACCTCAGGGTTTTTATATGCCATAGGATTTTTTTATTTAGCAGCTTGGTGCTGGTTCTCAGTATTACTGTTCCCAGTGAGTCACCAAGCAGCTGGTGTTGCCGGGAGCTCTCACATGTCTGGCATCCGCGTGTGCTGTCTCGGCACCATTCAAGCCTTGTGCCCAAAACGTCTATTTGATGGCCCATATACATATATATTTAAGTTTTTCATAAAACAATCAAGTTCCCATCATTATCAAAGTATTTTATTTAACTATCTTTTTCTGAAACAACCTTGTAGAGAATTTATTCAGGATCATTACAGTACTATCTTTTGAACACAATTAGAACAGATGCTGGAAAAAAAATAAAAATTATACACCTTTTCACTAGCCCTACATATTTTCTCTCAAGGCCACGACCTAACGTAATGACAGTGATGAGAGAATCATACAAAGTAAAATGCGTTTCATATGGTATAAATTATTACTGCATTATAAATGCCTATTTATAAAAAAAAAATGAATCACATAGTGCATATTAATAATAAAGTACTGTACCTGTACTTATTAATTATTAACTTTTCACGAGGCAGGCGATTTTACGCCCCTCACAATGCACACCACCAAAGGTGGAGAGGTGGTAATGTTTTCACTGCTAATTTCATTGACTATATGTAGCTACTGTACACTATATTTCTTAAGACACACCACTTTAATGTTCCTCAGCAACCCCCCCCCCCACTTGCACTAACTTTCCCCCATACTAACCTACATGCAATTTAAATGGCATATACTGTACCCGGATGGGCTAATCCCTGTGTGTGTATGTGTATACTGTATATATAATCCTGCTAACAAATCTGGATGTGAGGGAAGTCCATACATACAAACAGATAGGTTCAAAGTCAGTCAGACCTTCCCCCTCCCCTGTATATGCAGTGGTGGGACAAAAATCACAACTGGTCTTCAACATTACAAAAGAAATAAGGGAATATAGAACAGCAAAAGTAAAGAAAAAAATGACAAATTTAAGATATACTGTACAATAAAAATAATGTTTATATCAAGGGATGCAAATGGTAAGGAAAAACAGCTGACCAAGAATCAGGTACTGTAGTGGGTGCCTGTGCAAGTCAAAATAGTGTCTGTATGGAGATGTGAATGGTCTGTAATGCAAGTTGTAAAAAAAATCTTTCAGCTTGACTGGAAAAAACAACATGCTCATTAACAACCAGGGTTAAGCTCCTGGGATCCCCGCGTAAGTGTGAATTCGCATATATTCAGGTTCCCCCGTACATACACTTTATGTATAGCCCCTTTTTTATACTTATGAGTTCGATACGTCACCCCTTAGTATATCCAATATCTTGGGTTTTCTTCTTAAAAAGTTCTCACAGAAGACACTTTTTATCTTTTTCTCGCTCTCTCCACCACGAGGAGGACATCACAGTTATATTATGGTTATTTTTCAACTCATAATAACAATATAATTATCATAAAGGTCAGCAAGATTTCTTCATGCACTGGAATTCGCACACAGCCAGGGAAGGGGAGGAGAAGCAGAAAAAGGAATCTCAGCTGCTTGCTGATGCTGTTGCCTGTGTCCCATGTACTGTATATGAAAGATTACCAAATGATAATGCAGTATTTTTTCTTCTATTTTATTCCTGATATTTACTGTATATACAAAGAATAGCTCCTTCCACACTCAAACCATCCTCAGTAACATGCGACTTCAACCACTTAACTGACTCGCATCGAGAAAGGGAGGGACTGATTAATTTATGGAATTAAGGCTTTAAGCCAAGCACTGGAGCCAGTAGGTCATTCAGTGCTGTAAGGGGAGGGAGAGAGCAAGGCTAGAATTGTGAGTCGATGACAGTTATAGCTCAATGCCTCCACACACAAATGTGTGGACAAGTGATAAACACACTGAGCTAGCAAGAGAGACTGGGGATCAAACACGTATAAGCAGGGTCACATACTCCGAGACTCGACTGTAGTTACACCAATAAATTCAACAACTGTAATAAAGTCATACTCAGTATGTGTTGTAAAATACAGGTATTGTATTATACAATTATTTTGGTCCCATTATTGGGTATATGAAATGGTAATGGGCAAAGTTGAGGGAAGGAGGGCCAGGGGAAAGCAGAGACCGGGACGGATGGATGAATGAAATTAATAACTGGGTCCCCGAGATACAAAACCTCAGAAGATTGGTAAACATAGCCCGAGAACATTTAGAGTGGAAGACTGTGGTCGCCAACCCTCAGATATGAGGACAGTACTCTTATTGATTGACAGTGCTATATAATAATAATTACAGTATAAACAACTTACCAGAAGGTCTTCTCCGTTTTCGAACTTGGATTTTATCTCAGCACCTACATCACCCTCGGGAATTTTAATATCGTCACGCAAGTCACCAGATTCCATCATTAGGGACAAGAAGCCATCATCAGATATGTCGATCAACTGGTTGAAAGAAAAAATGAATTTAGATCGTTAGTAAATTTAGCATACCTAAAAATGGAGTATAAATTTATTAAGAATGCATCAAACAAGAGCAGAGCATCATGAAGATCAATAAAATGTAACCAATATCATTTGCACAAAAGATGACACTTAAGAGAGCATTCACCTGGTAGTCAGCACGCTTCACCACAGGCACATCCATGTTGTGGGTGGAGGGACAGATATCTTCATATTTCTTACCAGTGAAGAGGTCAATACCAACCAGATGAACTTTGGCATGTCCGTGTTTGCCTGTTTTTGAAGTTGACATTTCCACAATTTTACAAGCACGGCCCTGCAATCAAAGAAACAAAAATAATAATCCTGTATACACTAAAGAAATTCAATTATTTAGGCATTAAACTTCACAAATACATGAATCCCACGTACTTCCCGATTTTACCTTTTATTGGTATTCTTACATCATCACATGTGTGAGGAGTGTAGCACAGAATCAATAATAATGTTAATAGGTTGTATATATTACTCCATGATCTTGTGGTCTTTAAGAAAACTACAGTAATTATCATTTTCACTTCACCTGTGTATCTGCTCATCTCTCCCCCTTTTTAAACTCCACACATCTAAACTCTGTTTTGTAGTTCCAAAAGGCAGAGTACATCCTTATGGCCTTTCACTCACTATCCTATTCCTTTCTTTTGCCATTCATTAATCCATTCAGAACCCTCGTGCACACATTTCCGCACTCCCAGATATTAACTGCTTCATCTGCCTATCCCCCACTACCCACTCCCTTCTTTCAATATTTCTAGTTAGATTCCCTTTTACGTCCTTTTTATTGTTTTTTTTTTGTGCTTCACTCAAGGATTCTCATATATGGCACCAGTAGGCTTAGCTGTTACTTGCAGAGAATGGGTTAACATGTTTTGTGGCCCTTTATCCCTCCCTCGCGCGCAATTTTTAAAAAAGTTTCTGTGACCACAACAAAAGTCATTTGGGACCACTCACGTGAGGTCTGCCCGTGCACGCACCTCCGGGATTCCCTCTCCCGCCACCAACGGGTCCCTCCCTCCAGCCGACTCATTCCCTACGTAACTTGATAGTTCTGCCATGTGCCACAGGACGAGTAATAATTTTTTTCACGTTCAGTACTTCAAAATATACTGATCTGTAAAAGCAATTTTCTAAAATACGGCAAAAAATATTCGGTTAAGAATGCTCCAGTGGGGGACCAGGGGATACAAGAATCAGTATGTGCAAAGGATTAATACCCATTCTTCAACCAGAGTCCATTTTAAATCCCCATATATTATTGTTAGATATCTTGTGGTAGTACTTCCGCAGATGGCGAGGTTAACCTACTACCTACCTATGAATGCAAGTCAAAATAACAAGCATGGAGGAATCAAATATTTAAATAAATAGTCACTGTACAGCACTCATAAAATCAACTAATCAATTCTTTAATCAAACACTAAGAGTTGTATAATCTCCTAAAAAGTATGACTTCTATTAAACTATTTACATTGTAGAACTTTTGTAAGACTCCCAAAAACATGACTTTGTAGAACAGAAAGGAATGTCCCAATTTACCTTAATCACAACATGTCCATTTTTGCGGAGAGAGGAGCACTGGGCGGGATACACTTGTGATGCACCCGAATCGCCACCCTCAAAATCTGCTTGCAGCTCCTCTGACATATTGGTGGTGACCAGGTCTGAAACAACAAATTCATCATTAATACATAAGAGATATGAGAATACATAGAGAAGTATGAAAAAAAAATTAGGAAATTTGGTCTTGTGGACCGAGAGCAAGAAATTTATATTTTAACCCATTCAGAACGGGGATGACACTTTTAATACTAAATTTAATTCGGTAATGCTAGATGATTCTATTCAGCAGAGCCCCCTATATAGTGCACAAGGGGTTAATATTCTTCTACCAAATCTAAAGGCGTTTTCGATTTACAGAATAGCTAACGCGTTAGCTATTCTGTATGCGCAGACATTGCTTTAAAGTTGTGCGCAGGGCACATTCAGAGGGAAGAGCAAATGCCTTGATCAGGCATTAGCATTTGCAGAGGCGCCCAAATAGCTAACAACCAATCAGTGAGTTTCTCCCACATACACACTGTGTAAATACATGTATCATAGCTGCTTGTGGAGAAAATTTTGATTAATATTGAAGAGTTGGAGGCATGTAAGACAATACATTGTTGTGTGGTTTAAAGCTCCTACCCCGGAATCCGGGCCACCGACCTTTACAAAGGGCCCGATTTTTTTTGTATTCTTATTTATTATACTGTAGATCAGGGGTCACCAAACTTTTTTCACAGTGGGCCGGATAACTGAAAGAATGACGAGCGCGGGCCGCATAATCATTCTGTTCAATACTTGCAAGCCAGAACGAAAGCTCTGGTAACGTCAGAGCGTAGGCGGAGCTACCACGAGCCGGGGAAGGACTTGGGATCCGGCCCGCGGGCCGTAGTTTGGTGACCCCTGCTGTAGATAGACCTTTTTTCCCCTTTTGTCTTTCTTTCCATAATTTTCTTTATACTTTCCTCACTATTTCTTTCTACGTTGTGTCCAAATAACAAGTTATAATTTTACTGTTTTCTGAAGACTGTGTTGTACAAGTTATTCCCAAGACGCAGTACAATGTCATTTTTTAACGACAGTCCGGGAATTAGCTATCCCATGCTTCTTAAAACGCCTTGCAATAAATGCCTTAAATACCGGTAAAGCGGACCGGTGAGAAGGATGGTGTCGAGTAGTAGGTATTTCTATTCAGTCACAACGCTCGAGAATTTCATTATTGTTACATTATTATTTTTAGTGTGGGGTATTTTGATTGACAGATAGTGTCGGTGAAGTATAATTTGTTTAGAACTACGTGTGCTAGGAAGTTGGGAAGGGATAATCGCCTTAGGGATACCAAGTTCAAATTCTAATGTGAAAAGTCCTGACACAGAGAATTACTTTCTTTATTATAGTGGGTAGTGAATGTGGAGACGGTGGAAAAGTTTGAAGCAAAATTAGATAAATACTGGAAAAATCAACAAGTATATAATTTTAGGGCACAATTATCCGCCACAAACAGCCATCGTCTGAGAAGAGAAGAGGCTATTGAGCTGGAGTCACAGGCGTGAGCCTCTTCCAGATCATCTGTGAGTATCTTTAAGTACAGTAATTCTAATACTCTAAGGCAGGGGTCACCAAACTACGGCCCACGGGCCGGATCCCAAGTCCTTCCCCGGCTCGTGGTAGCTCCGCCTACGCTCTGACGTTACCAGAGCTTTCGTTCTGGCTTGCAAGTATTGAACAGAATGATTAGGCGGCCCGCGCTCGTCATTCTTTCAGTTATCCGGCCCACTGTGAAAAAAGTTTGGTGACCCCTGCTCTAAGGTAAACTTGCAGGTCAGTGCTTATGCCCTTTGCAGGAGTGTTTGATCCAAACCTCACTCTGGCATTCTTAACTACTGCTATGATATGGAGTTGTACCTCATACAGTATACTGAAGCAATTTTGAGAAACTTGGAACACAAATCCTTAAAAATAATGAAAAATTCACAATTTAAAAATAACTATGCTGTACTGTATATAATATTCACATTCAAGGAAAAACAGCTTCAACGCTACACATTATAATAGCCCACGAGTTCTCAATCTATCACGCCTAAATCTATTTGTCTAATTTTAAACCATTGCTATAAATTCACTCCTTGATAGATAGTTTAAGTACCTTTGTTTAAATGACCTCCATTTATACACCTCATCATATGCCTTTCACTCTACACTTGACATGGTGGTTATTGCATATCTCCAAAGTACAAGGTTACAGATTTTACAAGATCTTTTATCAAGGTGGAGTAATAGTACAAAATGCTGCTGAAGATATCAAGATATCAAAATGAAGATTTGCAGCAGGCTTCTGGCAGGTTCAACGCTCTAATTGTGAATCAAAAGCTACTAGCAAATAAAATGAAGGAATTTATACCATTTAGGAATGGATTAAAGTTAAGAGTTGTGCAGCTGTTCTATGAAGCATTTAGAGCAGTATCAGGATGAAAATTAACCAACAACAGCATGATCAAGTAATTCAACCAAAAGGCCTTCATTTCTAAACCCAGACCACTCGCTTTGTAATGAAGCACTGACACTTCAAGAGATCACATCTTAGATCCTTGTACAGTACCTTACATAGTGATACAAGTCATATGACTGGATTTAACTCCAAGGCTTTCAATTCCTTATCGTTCTGTACCTCTGATTCAGATACATGTTGTACCATTGTAGATTTTCTTGTAAAAAATTTCAAGTTGGCTAAAATACCCAATAAAACAATATTTAAAGGAAATTTGTTTTATACCACACATGGTAACATGAGTTAGTTTTGGGGTAGGTTGTCTTGTCTGTGAATGATCTGAGGAACCTTCCCGGGAACACGTAAAGGGTTTGCACTCTGGCTCAGACACAGCACTACAGTACTGACAGTCTAGCCAGTAACCTTCCAATTCATCTCTTCTTCAGTGACACGAAAATGTCCACAATTTGTTAAGGACACCATTTATAAAGAAAAGTGAACCATTCAAACCAATTCACCTAACTAAAATGTAATCCACGACCATTAGGATGGTTTTTATTAGCATTCTGTGATTTATACAGTATAAAGAATGCTAAAGAATGTAAAAATATAAATTATGCACAGGAAATGCTGCAGCTATGAGGCTGACGCTGAAGCCAATGTAGGATGACATTAACCATGAAATGGTGGAATGCCAAAATCTTATCAGAACCTAGGAACAAGCAGAGAGCTCCTCGTCTTTAATGATTTTTTTTGTGCCACTTCTTTTTTAAAGAAATAGTTTAATAATTCTTAGTATACGAGACTAAAAAAATCACCTATACACCAGCAAAAATAAAAGATTTTAAAACGTGTCTTCTGTCATTTAAATACCCCATCAGTTCCTTGGGATACAAACTATCAAGTAAAACCTATACGTATATTACAGTAAATGTTAAGATTAGGAGGGAGCAAATCAGAACAGAAGCATTTGGTACTTCATTTACAGAATATTTGTTACTTGAAAATACTTTTTAACAGACTGTCACAAATGAGTAAACTACAGTTACTTTCTCATTAAGTGAAAAAAAGCAAAAACTTTGGCTCTTCAATAAACAGACAAAACCATCAACTAAACAAGTAGTTAAACAAATTCCTGCTAAGTCAAGCATAGTACTGCAGTGGCGATTTCCATCAAGTGACTGAATTGTAAAAAGAACTGAAGAACATGGCCCACTTCATGTTTTGTGTAAATTCAGTAATTTTACATTTCCTTAACCATAAGTACATATTGGTACCAGAGCTTTTCCAAATACAGTACACTATATCCAAAATTTAGTTAAGTTTAGTGTTTATTTCTAACATTCCCAATATTACTTTCAACAAAAATCAAACTTTCATTCAAGCAGTGTAGTTTACTATATCAATGTAACTGACCTAAGCACAGTTTTGAGGTTATTATATATTAATTAAAGCCATTTTAATAATCAAACTCGTCTGTTCTGGATGGCCATAAACTTCCATGACCAATGAAGGAAATTATGGTAAAGGAACTTACAGAAATTACTATTAAGAGAATGCCAGTGATGATATGCTCCCAATAATTAACACTCATTACCTGACAACTACTTAACAATTATTCCATGTCAATAACCTGGACCCCAAGTAATTTCCACCAACAACCTCTCCAAAATAGTGTAATAAAAAACTCGACCATCCCCTGAGTGTATATCCAGAGCCTCTACACACCAAGATACACAGTAGATGTCGATTTAAACACACAGCTAAACCTCACACAGCAAAAATAGCTTCAACAACGTGGGGCTGCACAAAGAGAAGCCAGGAGCCAGCTGAGTCTGCACTATACTCCTCATAATAAAGTCCTATACACTTCCTGTTTTCTGTTCCTGCCGTTATAACACAGATAATCCACAATACTACACAACCTCATGTATAAATTGTACATAAATTGGTATTCATATGTACTATTTTTATATTCGTACGTCAGGCAATCACGTAAAAAAATTACCTCCTGGTTGCAGTACATCAGAGTCACCCTATAACTTTCCTTCTAATTCATTAATGGACAATAGATTCCCGTAAAGACATAGATATATACACATGTGAGTAGGAAAGTTAAATGTTTACCTAAAAAAGTTGTCAAAAATTCACAATATGGCGCCGGCCAGGGTATTGTCATTAGACTGTTTTACCCCCAAGAAAAATCACCAACTAAGAACTACAGGTGGAGAACACACAGTAAACTCCCACACCCACACCATTGATATCCACTATGAGAGCAATCAGTATTTCAACACTCACATAAACGGCGTCAAAGAGAAGAAAAGGGGTTGAGGAGAAGGTAAACTCACACGTGTGTTGCCGGGGCGAGGCAGCAGAGAGCGAGAGAGGGCGCGCGCACTCCACACCCGCCAACCACCTAATATGGCTGACTCTTACACCTGACTATCGCTATGCGTCTATATAAACCTATCTTTAAACACAAAAATAACACTATTATTATAATATCTTACCCCCAATGCTGTATACAGAAATATACTATTATATAGAATAAAATTATTGGTAATATAGTAACTCTATAAATCAGTAAAATTATCATATTTTGCAATATCTTTTTATTCTCTATGGTGAAAGTTTTGATATTGTTCTATGTGATATTTTTAATGATGTTTCGATAATGGATCTCTTCACTACAGTTTTTAAGTGTTTGGATAACTCTTAGGTGACGATCATTGCTATAGTTTACGGCACGCTAACTGTTAATGTTCTTAGTGTAAAACTGTAAATGGAAGCAATGTTATACTGTATCTACATTCATACCAACCAAGTATGTGAACTATAGGTCTTATAGTTATCATTCCTATATAATTCTATAAAAGCTTCATCACCACAATCAATCACTAAGCAGATAACACATATTCTCCTAATTGTCATAATATGTTCCACTTTTAACCCTTTAAGTCCTATCTTATCTTTCATTTAAACGGTGGCCTTTTCTGAAGAACATTGTTGAAATACTTTGAACATAATTCCACTCTCAGATCTGACAAGGATAAATTGTTCGAGCATAGAGTTAAAAATTCAAGGAGCAGTTGAGTTGAGCAACGTTACAGTGTTAGAAATTATCTGCATATCGCATTTAAGACTGTACTGCATATAGCATGTATTGTCAAATAGTGTCAATGCAAATATAATCTCCCAACTTTTCCCATTTTTTCCTCATAAAAGAACGTTTACCTTTCAGTCCTTTCTATCAAGACAGCCAACCCTCTGTATGGTGCCTGGTACATTGTCCCCACACTGCTCACCCTTGGGCAAACTTGGCTCAAAGTTTCCTATTACCGGGGCACATATTCCCTAACTGTCTCCAGGTAACTAGGCCGACCAATCACAGACCAGCACCACATGGATGACGTGACTTGTAACCTCACTAATAGCTGACACAGTTAGCAGAGTGTTGTAAGAGTTGCTGACCTAACCTAGCCCATGTGGTGCTAGTGTGTGATTGATCGGCCGAATTATCTCGAGGCAGTCTGGGAATATATAACCAAGGCCACGCTATTTTACATTGGTATCATTTACTTTGTCAATTATTGTGTCCCTCGATAACTGTATCAGTTCATCCTGTAATGCCACACATCTGCAGTGATAACATAACATATACTAGTGTGATGGCCAGGATTGGTAGACTCTGGTGACATTCATATATCCAATGGTACAGTACCAGGCTGATTTCCAGTGGTGCTCTAATACCAATAAGCCCTTCGATCTGATCCTCAGTCACATGTATCAACTCAACATTGATATGTTTTAATATATCACTAATTTATGCCAAGGTGGATGACCAGAAAACTTAAACATGACATAGGAATAAAGAAAGGAATATATAAGAAATTAAAGGGAGGGGAGGAGCAGCTCAGAAATAGGTATAATGAACTATCTAGGAATGCTAAGAAAAATGTAAGGAAAGCAAAGAGAGACTATGAAATCAAAATAGCAAGGGAACCCAAGGCGAATCCCAAGGGATTTTTCCAGGTATATAGGACAAAGGTCAAGGACAAAGTTGGGCCTTTAAAGTCAGGGAGGGGAGAAGTGATAAATGGCAGTGAAGAAATAAGCAAAGCATTGAACAGCTACTTCTTATCAGTTTTCACAGAAGAAATTTGCCATGAAATTCCAGAGGTGGAACTGATATTTAAGGGAAAGGATGAAGAGAAATTAAAGAACATCACTATCAGAAAAGAGGATGTTCTTAAGAAGATAAATAAACTAAAGAAAACAAAATCCCCAGGGCCGGATGAAATTTTCCCTGGAGTTGTGCCAGACTTGTGGAAACAGGCAAATGTAGTACCCATATTCAAAAAGGGAGACAGAGCATCAGCGTCAAATTACCGGCCGATCAGTTTGACGTCAGTAGTGGGGAAATTTCTTGAATCAATTATAGCAGATAGCATCCGATCGCATCTAGAGAAAAGCAAATTAATCTACGACTCTCAACATGGGTTAACAAAGGGAAAATCTTGTCTAACAAATCTGCTAACGTTTTGAGGAAGTCTTTCGAAATTAGTAGATAATGACGAAAATTACGATATTATTTACTTAGACATTAGCAAATCATTTGACAGAGTACCGCATCAGAGGCTTCTGAGAAAAATTAAGGCTCATGGTATCGAGGGAAAGTTTTAAATTGGATAAAATCATGGCTCACCGATAGAACGCAGAGGGTCAGCGTAGATGGTGTTAAATCTGAGTGGGGCCGTGTAACCAGTGGGGTTCCCCAGGGGTCAGTACTAGGCCCACTCTTGTTCATAATCTACATAAACGATCTAGATACTAGGATCAGCAGTGACATAAGCAAGTTTGCGGATGACACCAAAATAGGGCGGCAATTAATTCAGGGCAGGATGCAAATGCATTACAGGAGGATCTAAATAAACTGCAGGGGTGGTCTGAAAAATGGCAAATGAAATTCAACACCAGCAAGTGCAGCGCACTTAATATTGGAAGAACAAATACTGTCATGTATACAGCCTTAACAACATCAACCTAGAGAAGTCGACTGTGAAAGAGACCTAGGGTACTTGTAAGCCCGACCTACGGCCCAGAAAACAGTCCGTTAATGTTCGAAATAAGGCAAACAGAGTATTGGTTTTATATCTAGAAGTGTAAGTAACAAGTTTGCAGAGGTCTTATTGCAACTATATCTTGCGCCAGTCAGGCCGCACCTCGATTATGCTGTTCAGTTCTGGTGCCCCTATTATAGAATGGATATAAATTCACTAGAGTCGGTGCAGCGAAGAATGACAAAATGATTCGGGACTTAGAAACCTTCCATATCAGGATAGGTTAAAGAAACTTAACTTGCATTCCCTAGAAAGACGAAGAGTGTGGGGAGATATGATAGAAGTATTTAAGTGGGTGAAAGGAATCAATAAAGGAGATATAGATAAAGTTCTTATAATATCCGAGCAGGATAGGACTCGGAACAACGGATTCAAGTTGGATAAGTTTAGGTTTTGGGAGGAGATAGGAAGAAACTGGTTCTAAATAGGGTGGTGGACAGGTGGAACAAGCACCAACTTTGTAGTAAGTGCAGGAACTCTGGAAAGTTTCAAAAGGAGGCTGGATAGATTCATGGATGATAGAGAGTGGTAGTAACTCTCGACAGGAGCTGTCATGCACAGGCCAACCGGTCTGGCAGACTCCTTATTTTCTGATGTTCTTATGTTGTTATTTTACTTTCCAAAGGTTTTAGTCTACTTTCCAATGGTATTATTCTACTTCCCTAATATATTATTCTACTCTACGGTGGTGCTGTTTTACTTTCCAATGGTGCTCGTTAACATTCCAGTGGTTTTAGTCTACTTTTTATGGTGTTAATCTACTTTCCTAAGGCGTTACTCTACAATGGTGTTAGTCTGTTTTCCAGTGGTACTATTCTACTTTCCAAAAGTGTTGTTCTACGTTCCAAAGGAGCAGAACAACCTTCCAATGGCGCATTTACTTTTCAGTTGTGTTAGTCTGTTATCCACTTTTTATCCTGTTTCCCACTTGTACTTTATATTGGTACTGGTCTGTTTTCCATTGCTACTGCTTTCTGGTGTGTGAGTGCCTGCCTGCGTTTACGCTTGTATACGTGTGTGTTTACGAGTGTGTAAGTGTATGAGTACTTATGGAAATGTACTGTGTTTTATGCGGGAGCGCGCGCGCGCGCGCGCGTGTGTGTGTGTGTGTGTGTGTGTTAGTCACCAGCGGTATGAAGTGTGTCATGTATTGAGTGAGTCAGCTGTTGAGTGGCAGGGGTAAATAAAGCGGGCGCGTGTTGTCATGTTCTGCTATGTGATGTGGTGCAACAGCTCTCTCTCTCTCTCTCTCTCTCTCTCTCTCTCTCTCTCTCTCTCTCATAGACAAATCTCAGGCACTGGACATTAGACAGTAATAAGACGAGGGTCCTACAAATCCAAATTTGGAAATCACTGATAGAGCAAGACATTATAGAGCGCAGGAGTGCATCAGAGATTTGTTGGGGGAATTGAGGGCTAGGACTGGGGGCTCACCCTCTCCCGGTTCCATGACAAAACCCCAACCCAGGGTTGTCATCTGTCAACACTAAACTAACCTAACCTAAACATAAAAGTGTTTTATTTTATATATGAGACTGGGGTTTTGTCCGGTCACCCCCTGTCCCACACCCCCAAACCCTGAGCCTCGAAGGTATGAGAATGCTTCACCACTTTGTAATTACAACAATTTTCTACTCGTTTATTGCTTCGATATGGCTCTATTAGAAACAAGGTTGTCAGGAAGGGTGTGCAACGGTGCAAGTCCCAGTCGCGCATTCACAAAGTCCAAAATGCCGTGAAGCTGAACTATAATAGCAGACAATACCGATTATTGAACATGTATGCGTTTTTTTATGGGTCCACTAGCTAACTTTGACCAAAATCTATCGCTATTTATTTAAGTTGTTTCACAGCTCCCGTGTGCACTGACAGATAACCTACACACGTAAGCTCCTTCTCGGGACGGCTGCAGTGGACGACAACAAGTCTACCTTTATTTTGACAAGAACCCAGCGTCGATTTTAACTGATTTAGAGAGGGAAGCGATGGGAGGCCAGGAGTCACGCTCTTGTCGTTACACACTCCCTCCTTGCCTCCCCCACTGATATATCACCTGGGTAAGAAAATTATACTCGGAATAATAGATAAAAGAGGAGAAGCAATATCTCCAGGTTTGGTTGATATTTGTTGCACTGAAAGTATTGCATGTTGGGTTTGACAGAGATCGTCCTCAAAGGGTTAAACTCCCGTCCTCAAAGGGTTAAACCATGTCCTCAAGGGGTTAAACCATCGTCCTCAAAGGATTATATCCGCGTCCTTAAAGGGTTAAATTATCGTCGTCAACGGGTTAGACGATGATATTGGAGGTGGAAAAAATAAT